ATAGAAGAAGTGGGAGGCAGGGGGCCCCCGTGACCAGAAACGGCACGGCGCTGGCGGCCACCATCACCGGCGCCCTCGGCGGGCTCGCCGCGGGAGGACCCGTGGGGCTGCTGGTCGCGGGAGACGGAAGATGATCAAGGATGAAAAAACGAGATTTGAGTATTGAGGCTTCGGGTCATGGGTCTCGGATGGAGGATCGGGATTTGGAGGTTGGAGGTTGCATGGGCGTCGTCGCCACGGCTACAATCCCACTGGAATTCGAAAGGGCGTCGTCTGAGTTCGCTGGGAGGAAGTCAGGTGGGGGGGTACAACCTCCCCTACCCCCCAGCCAGGGGGTGGGGTTTTCTAAGCTCCCCCTCCCTGCTTATCCCCCCCCTCCCCCCCCTCGAAGGTGAAAGTCGGGGTCGGGGGTTCGAACCCCCCTCTCCGGCGGCACGACATCGAGGACGACGACGTCGACAAGGGCCACGATGACGTGTTCCGCCCGCCCGACGACGAGTGCGATGACGACGTGTCCCGCCCGCCAGACCGCCCGTCCGACCCACCCACGACTTACAACGGCAATGACGTGTTTCGGCCGCCCGACAGACTGACCGACTCGCCGATAACGACGACGACGATGACGACAGTGGCGACTGCGATGGCGATGGCGAACGACGCCGACGTGTTCCGCCCGATCGACTGACTCGGCGACGGCGACGGCGACGGCATCGGCGACGGTGATGGCGACGGCGACGGTGACGGCGATGGCGACGGCGGCGGTGGCGGAGGCGATGACGGCGACGACCACGACGACCACGACGACGACGACGACGACGACGACGACGACGACTACGGCGGCGTCATTTGCAACTGTGATGGCGACGGCGAGCGACGACGTGTTCGCCCGACCGACCGACTCGCCGACGACCATGGCGTCTGCGTCGTCGTGGTCGTCGTCGTCGTCGTCGCCGTCGTGGTCTTCGTCTTCGTCGTCGTCGTCGTCCGTCGTCGTCGTCGTCGTTGTTGTTGTTGCCGTTGTCGTCGTTGTCTTCGTCGTCTTCGTGGATTTGTCGTCGCCGTCGTCGTTGTTGTCGTCGTTGTTGTCGTCGCTGTCGTCGTCATCGACCTCGTCTGCCGGCCGCAATGGATGAGGGGTTAGGGGGGTTCTCGCTGGGGACTGTGTTGGTCCGGATGTGGATCGGAGAGGTGGAGAATTTCCCGAAGGGGGTCCCGGTTCCAGAGGGGATTTTGCCACACGTCTCTCTCTCTGAGTTTCTAACCCGGAGATGAGTTTCGCGGACCGAGGATACTCCAGCTTCGAGGAGGCGCTTTCGATGATCGATGGTGGAGCTTCGAGGATCTGGGTTCGACGATTGAGGTCCGAGAGGAATCCAGTGTCGAGGTTCGGGGAGCTTCTGCGAGGATCGTGGGTGGACGTTCTTCACCACCCGCCAAACCACCCCGACCCAGTCCGAGAGCCTCAATTTGCCCTTCATCTCCAGTGGGGGTGGGGGGGTCGGGGAACAGTGAGAAAACACATACCTGGAACCAGTACCCCCCCCCCCAGCCCCAAATTCGGGTCTTCGGGCTGGGTTCAGGCGGTCTGGCAGGTGGTCAGATCTTCGAGTCTGGAGGCTCGAGGCCCATCACTTGCTGCTTGCCGCTTCCGCCCACCAGTGCATGATGTGAGGGGGGTCGACGCGCGCTCGTTTTTTTTCTGCACGGGCCTGTGTCTTCTGCGTTGTCTGCCTATTGCAGGCTGGTGTTCGCATGATCCCGGGATTGCCCGGCGGTGTTCACGACGTATCGGGGGCGGAAAAGAGGGGGGTGATGATCAGGGGGGGGTGGATATCATGGCGTGGGCCATGATATTTCCCCAGATTTCATGGCGCCTCTTCTTATTCCATTACGTCCCTGGCACCCCCGCTGGGCCGCGCACATGCCGCCAGTCATGATTTGCACCCCCCCCTCTTGGACACCCCCCTCTTGGCCGCTCCCGAACGTAGGAGGACCGAGGGTCGAGGACGGCTGGGGGTTCGAGGTTCGGGAGGTTCTTCGAGGATCGAGGGCGGAGGCTCCAGGTGAAGGTTCCTTCTGGGATCGAGGCTAGTGGATCGAGGTTCCTCGAGTTCCGAGCATCGAGATTCGGGGAGATTGATGGAGGCCTCTCGATGGTCCAGGTCGACGGCGTGCTGCCTGCGGAGGTTATTGGAGGATCGAGGTTCCGTGGGGCTCGGCCCGGGGTGGGAAGCTGGCCCTGGGGAGCGGTGCGAGCGGACTTTGGTGCCCATGTTTGGAAGATCTCAGGCCGCCGGGTGTCCAGGCTTCTGGAGATTCTACGAGGGTCGATGTTCGCGTGTCGAGTTTTCCTGTGAGGTTTTGTGGTCAGGTTCGTGCTTTTGATCTCCAGGAGCATGAGGCTTCTCGTCGCCACGGCTGAGATCTCCCTGACATTCTGGCCAGAACGAAGCCCTCGAGACGGGTCGCGGAGGGCGGGCCTCGAGGGGAGGGGAGGGGAGGAGGGTGGGAGGGAGGAGGGAGTTGGAGGAGGAGGAGGGATGAGGGCGGGCATCGAGGGGAGGGGAGGGGAGGAGGGTGGGAGGGAGGAGGGAGGAGGAGGAGGAGGGGGGATGGGGGAGCCTGCACCTTTGCTCGGCGGGGTATCCTAGGAGCGGGATTCTCAAACACTGCTAGCAGGCGTCCCTGAACCCCTGTCCCGCACGCGCACGCCCACGCCCACGCGCACGCCCACGCCCACGCCTACCCCCACGCACACGCACACGCACACGCACACGCACACGCACACGTGCACGCGCACACAGCGGCGGGCAGGCGGCTCCCTCGATGGAGCGAACGCGCAGACGCGCACGCACGTTGGACGTCTGACACATGTTGGGGCTCGTATCTCATGGCCTTCGGCCCATCCCGCTGCCGTACCTGGGTTGTGGGTCTTAGGCCTCCAAGATGTTCGTTGGGATGTCGCGGGAGGCCTCTCGGGGGCCGCAGTTTTGGGGCCTCTCGGGGCCGCTTGCTGGCCTCCTGGGGGCCTCTTGGGGCCTCCTGTGGGCTTCTTGGGGGCTTCTCGGGGGCATCGTGGGGCGGAAAGCTAGAATTGTCGGTTCGGGCTGCTCCTCTTGGGCCCCGCTGGGGACCGTCTTGGGGATCTTGGGGGCCTCTTGGGCCGTCTTGAACGCCGCGAGGCCGACAAGTCGCATATGCTACAAATGTACGCCCCCCCAATCTAACCATATCCACTGCCTGATGGTGCCCTGGGTCGCCAGTTCCCACAGTGGTTGATATGACGTGTATGGAGTCGCTCACGGCACGCAGATGCGCAAGCCATGTTTCCAATCAAAGGCTTCCCCTCCCTCTTCCTTCCTCCATGGGGGGCGACAAGCTAAGGGGGGCAGGCAGTAACGCGTGTGACAGCCTCGCTCGGAGGGGCTTGGACAGGGGCAGGCTTCAGGGCTCTTCGGGTGTTTCCAGATCAGGCACGGGTGTTAGATTGCTCCTGCCAGGCTTCAGGAGTGTCGGAGGTTCCAGGTGCCCTGGACGAGGCAGGGGGAGAAATCGTGTGGCTGCCACCAGCAACGCCTCCTCCCTCCTTCCTCCTCCTTGCTGACACCGCGGTCAGGGAGTGGACGCCCAAAGGCTCGCGTCCTTCCAGCTTTCCCGTGACAGGACGCCACGTCGAGAGGAGGTGGGAGGAAGATGAGGAGAACGGGCCAGGAGGAGGTGGAGGAGTACCAGTATGAGTGGGAGGAGGAGGAGGAGGAGGAGGAGGAGGAGGAGGAGGAGGAGGAGGAGGAGGACCAGTGTAAACCCAAGAGTCTTCAACGATGTTGGAGTAAACCCTCCCTCCAAGCTCCCTCTTCTTTGGCCCCTACAACGGTTCATTTCCACTGAGGTAGCTGCCTCGTTGGAAGACAGCCGTTTGAAGGCCCTGAAGCATGCCAAAACATTATTCTCGAGACTCCAACGCCACGGATCAACCTGATTGTTGCGTCTTGACGATCCCGAATTGTGCCAGAACGCCATTCCTGGGACTTCAACACCGCGAACCAACGTAACTGTTGACCCTCATAATCCAGAATCTTTCCAAAGCACCACTCCTGGTACGTTGACCATGGGAAACCGTGGACATTTCGCAATGTTTAAAAGGAATGTGTGCGGCGTCAAGTGGAAAACCGCATTTTGAAGGCGAATCGCCCTCAATCCTTGAAGTTTTTGCAAATTTGCAAATTGAATGCGCGCGGCGCTAAGGCGAGAGCCACATTTTGAGAACGATCCGCCCTCATTCTGTGAACCTGCTGCAATTTTTAGAGCGAATGTGCGCGGCGCTATGGAGAGAGCCACGTGTTGAAAACGGCTCGCCCTTCATCTGTGAAACTGTTGTAAAAGTTCTCAAACGATGTGCGCGGCGCTAAGGGGAGATCCACATTTTGAAACCGACCCGCCCTCCATCTGTGAAGCTGTTGCCACATTTCAAGCTTCAGGGTCATACATGGTGAGGAAGTCTCAGGCGAAACGCCCGGCCCGCTTTAAAAACAGGCCTCGTGGTGCGAGAGGGTGAAGTTATGTTTAAGGAGAAGGAATGGAGAAGGAGGAGTAGGAGGAGGAGGACGAGGAGGAGGATGAAGATGAGGATGAGGAAGAGGATGATGATGGTGGTGGTGGTGGTGGTGATGATGATGATGCTGATGATGATGATGAGGAGGAGGAGGAAGAATAGGAGGAGGAGGATGAAGAGGAGGAGGAGCAGGAGCAGGAGGAGGAGGATGAGGAGGAGGATCAGGATTAGCAGGAGGAGGAGGAGCAGGAGGAGGAGGAGGAGGAAGAGCAGGGAAGGGAGGCCAGAGGAGGAGGTGGAGTGGGAGGAGGAAGAGGAGGAGGTGGAGTAGGAGGATGAGTTGGCGGAGGGACTGCCTCCTCCTCGCCAGGACGGGGCACGCAGGGGCGGGCACCCTCCCCCTAGGTCGGCGGCGCCATCGGGGCGCTGGCTGGCGGCGTGCACGCTTACGCGAGGCCCCCCGCAAGGGCGCCGTCGTCGGTGCCGTCGTCGTCGGCGTTGTCGTCGTCGTCGTCGTCGTCGTCGTCGTCGAAGTTGGCGTCGGTGCCGGGTGTCGCCGTCGCCGTCAATGTCGCTATCGTGGGCGGCGTCGTCGGTGTCGCCGTCGCCGCAGCCGTCGCCGTCGCCGTGGCCGTCGTCGTCGTCGTCGTCGTCGTCGTCGTCGTGGCTGTTGAATGTTAATTACTAAGCAATTGTTCTTCTTGGACCCCTTACAGGCGCCCTGGCGCTCTGGCCGAGGCTCCGGCTACATTTTCATTGAAAATGAGGCTCACGCTCGAGCTGTTTGGGGGACCGCCAAAACCGGCCTCCCAACAACAACAACAACGCTCCCGCTCGAGACTTCCTCCTCGTTTACTCAGAGCTGGTGTCTTGCTCGCCGCCGAAAGCCGCCGTCCTAACAAAACCAGCGCTCCCGCTCGAGACTTCCTCCCGTTTTACCCTGGACTGGCGCGCTAGTCTTTTTCTCATCGGCGCCGCCCCCAGCAAAAACAACGCTCCCGCTCGAGGCTTCCTCCCTTTTTTACTCAAGGCGGTGCTCCTCCTCGCCGCCGAAAACCGCCGCCCCGACAAAATCAGCGCTCCCGCCCGAGACTTTCTTCCGTTTTACGCTGGACTGGCGCCTAATTCTCTTTTGAATTGGCGCCGCTCCCAGCAAGAACAACGCTCCCGCTCGAGGCGTCCTCCCTTTTTCCTGAAGACGGTGCTGCTCCTCGCCGCCGACAACCCCCGTCCCGACAAAACCACGGCTCCCGCTCGATACTTCCCCCTTTCTTACTCAAGGCGGTGTTCCTCCGCGCCGCCGAAAGCCGCCGTCCCAACAAGACCAGCGTTCCCGCTTGAGACTTGGTTTTGTTTTACGTTGGACTAGCGCCCTACTCTCTTCAGCACTGGCGCCGCTCCCAGCAAGAACAACGCTCCCGCTCGAGATTTCCTTTCTTTTTCCTCGGGACGGTGCTGTTCCTCGCCGCCGACAGCCCCCGTCCCGACAAAACCACGGCTCCCGCTCGATGCTTCCCCCTTTCTTACTCAAGGTGGTGTTCCTCCTCGCCGCCGAAAGCCGCCGTCCCAACAAGACCAGCGTTTCCGCTTGAGACTTGGTTTTGTTTTACGCTGGACTAGCGCCCTACTCTCTTCAGCACTGGCGCCGCTCCCAGCAACAACAGCAGCCATGCTCGAGACTTCCTCCCTTTCTATTCAGGGCCAGGTCCTTGCCTCACCGCTGACAGCCCCCATCCCCACCAAGGCAATCCTGTCGTTCGATACTTCCTTGTGCTTTACCCTTCGCTGGGGTTCCACTGGCGGTCTCGCATCGGCGCAGCAAGGCGCGGGTATGTGTGTTTCGCGGCGGGATCCGTTGAAATTCCTCGGAGGAGGTGTTTGCAAGACCTCCTTGGGCGGGAGATCTGGCAATGGGAATAACGCACCCCGCTTTTGAACAAGAGTACCCCATGCTGTGGATGGTTATCATGATTTTCGTATGCTTCGTGTGGGCACATCGCGCATGATGGTCAACTTATTGTTGTTGTTGTCGTTGTCGTTGTCGTTGTCGTTGTTGTTGTTGTTGCTGCTGCTGTTGTTGTTGTGGTTGTTGTTGTTGTTGTTGTTGTTGTTGTTGTTGTGGTTGTTTTTGTTGTTGTTGTTGTGGTTGTTGTTGTTGTTGGTGGTGGTGGTGGTGCCGTTGTTGTTGCTGTTGTTGGTGGTTGTTGGTTGTTGGTTGTTGGTTGTCGGTTGTCGGTTGTCGGTTGTCGGTTGTTTTTTTGTTGTTGTGGTTGTTGTTGTGGTTGTTGTTGTTGTTGCTGCTGTTTTTGTTTTTGTTTTCGTTTTTGTTGTTTTTGTTGTTGTTGAACATTATTACTTCTAAAGAAATATTATTGTTGAGACCCCTGGTGCGCGACCCCCCTCCAAAACCTAGGCCGCAGCCTCATTTCCTTCATTTTCTAGCGAAAGCTTCAGAAAAGTGGATTGTGTCCGGATCCGGTTGTTTTGTTGTAATCCGTTTTCCCTTGCAAAAAACACTATAAAATGAAAATTCTTGTTCTTACTTGATCAAATTGCAAGAATCCCTTGCAAAAAATAAGGTAAAGTGGACATTCGTGCGCGCAAGACGAAATCCTTCCAAAACCTTAGGTTTCGTAGCGATTTTAACATAAAAACATCAAAAACCCAATGGTTTTTTAAGAAAAAATTGTCAAAATGTCCTTCCGCGCGCGCTGTCCGAATCCCACAAAACCAATGGTTTTTCAACATTTATGTTACATGAGCTCGCGCGAGCTACTTTTTCTTGTTCTAACATAATCAAATTTCAATAATCCCTTGCAAAAAATAAGGTAAAGTGGACATTCGCGCGCGCAAGACGAAATCCTTCCAGAACCTTAGGTTTCGTAACGATTTCAACATAAAAACATCAAAAACCCAATGGTTTTTCAAAAAAAAATGTCCAAATTTCATCCCGCGCGCGCTGTCCGACTCCCACAAAACCAATGGTTTTTCAACATTTATGTTACATGAGCTCGCGCGAGCTACTTTTTCTTGTTCTAACATAATCAAATTTCAATACTCCCTTGCAAAAAAAAGTAAAGTGGACATTCGCGCGCGCAAGACCAACAAAAAACACGACGATCTTAGGAACTTGCCCCAAAAATGTGACCAACTCCGCTCTCTCTGTCTCTCTCTCTGTCTGCTCTCTGTCTCTCTCTCTGTCTGTCTGTGTCATGTATTGTATGTCACAATTGCAGGATGCTGGGCACACGCGCGCCCCGAATAAGTGACCAAGTTCTGTGGGTGTGTACCCCACGCCAGTGTAGTAGCCACGGTCGTCCGCACGCCACGAAGTGAAGTGTCCCAACGTCATAGGGCGGGAAGCTGGGTTTGGGTGGTCGCGAAGAGTCGTTTGGATATTTGGTAGAGCTTGAACTGCCCCCCCACGAAGTGGGGGTATTGTCTCGCGTCGCATGAAAACCCTGGCACTGGTGAGAACACTGAGCGTTCGGGTAAAATGATTGTTGTTGTTGTTGTTGTTGTTGTTGAGCTCTCATTTCTGAAGAATAGTCTTTATTGATCCCCCTCCCGCCTGGAGCACATTGCATTTTTTCGATTGAAGTGCCCCTCCCAGGGCTCGCACCTGTTTTTCATCAGGGAAAGTCTTGAGGCTCAAATTGTGTTGTTGGCCCCCGGTTTACAACAACAATGGTTTCCGCCTGATACTACCTCACAATTTATTGAAGAATCGTGCTCTCGCTCTGGACTTGCTGGCAATTTACCACCGAATCGCGGCTCCCACTTGATGATTGTTGACAATTTATTGCAGAATCGTGTTCTCGCTTGGGACTTTTTTCGCAACTTACCACCGAACCGCTGCGCTTGATATTTCCTCACAATTTATTCAAATGCCAGTCCTCGACACTCAGGAATCGCGCTCCCGCTACATATTGCCTGGCGGCTCAAGCAGGACTCACCCTTCAACGACCCGCCCGTTCGACCCGCCCGTCGGGGCCTGCCCGCCCGACCAGCCTGTTAATGACTGCAGTCGCCGCTCGCTGCCCTTCGCCCGCCTTCGATGCCCCTCGCTGCCCGTACTAGTTCCGCGGTCGCCTTCGCTCGCTGCCCTTCGTGGCCCCGTTGCTGCCCTCAATGGCTCCGTCGCTGCCCTTTGCGGCCCCGCATTATATGCCCTTCGTGGCCCCCGCTCGCACGCGCCCGTCGTGGCCCCATACGCATGCCCTTCGTAGCCCCGCTGTCGCCCTTCGTGCCCCCCCCGCTGCCCTTCGTGGCCCCTTTGCTGTCCTCAGTGGCCCCGCTGTCGCCCTCTGTGGCCCCGTATGCGAATGCCCTTCGTGGCCCCCGCTCGCTCGCGCCCCTCGTGGCCCCATATGCGTGCCCTTCGTGGCCCCGCTGTCGCCCTTCGTGGCCCCGGTGCTGCCCTCAGCGGCCCCGTCGCTGCCCTCTGTGGCCTCGGATTTTATGCCCTTCGTGGCCCACGCTGGCTTTTCTCACGATTCACTTAGGAATCGCGCTATGGCTCGAGACTTCCACGCCATTCATGCAGGACCCACGCTTCAGCAACCCGCCTGCTCGACCTCATCGCCTGGGCCCGCCTTCCCGACCTGCCCGCTATGGGTCTGCCCACCCGATCTGCCCGTCTGGTTCTACCATTTGTTTTCTTCTCCGTGCCCCCCTCCTGCTCATTTCTCCCGTGCTCCATTATTCTCCCTCCCCCTTCCACCCGTCCTCTCTTCTCTTGTTTCAGGGGGCTGCACTAAATACACGTGGCAGGTAAGGAAGATATACCCCCAAGGGGGTACGACCGAAGACGACGAGGGCGGGTACCGAGGGTTTGGGGTAGACGTTTTGATTAGCACGTGAGCAGATAGGAGCGAACAGTCTTAACATGATTGTTGTTGTTATGATTGTTGTTGTCGTTGTCGTTGTCGTTGTTGTTGTGGTTGTTGTTGTCGTTGTCGTTGTCGTTGTCGTTGTTGTTGTTGTTGCTGTTGTTGTTGTTGCTGCTGCTGTTGTGTTTGTTGTCGTTGTCGTTGTCGTTGTCGTTGCTGTTGTTGTTGCTGCTGTTGTTGTTGTCGTTATCGTCATCGTCATCGTTGTCTTTGTTGTTGTTGTTGTTGTTGTTGTTGTTGTTGTTGTTGTTGTTGTTCTTGTTGTTGTTGGTGTGGTTGGGGCTGTCGTTATTGCTGCTGTTGCTGCTGTTGTGGTTGTTGTTGTTGTTGTTGTGGTTGTTGTTGTTGTTGTTGTTGTTGTTGTTGTTGATGTTTATGTTTTTGTTTTGCTGTTGTTGTTGCTGCTGCTGCTGTTGTTGTTGTTGTTGTTGTTGTTGTTGTTGTTGTCGTCGTCGTCGTTGCTGTTGTTGTTGTTGTTGTTGTTGTTGTTGCTGTTGTTGTTGTTGTTGTTGTTGATGTTGTTGTTGTGGTTGTTGTTGTCGTCGTTGAAAACCTCTTTCTAGATAATGCTTATGGTTAATCTCCGGAAGCGGTTCCGGGCGCTTTCGCCTCGACGCAGGCTACATTTTCTCTGAAAACGAGGCTCCCGCTCGAGCGTCGTGACTCGAGTGTAAACGTGTGCCCTTGGAGGCTCCGCTACGACGACAACGGCTCCCGCTCGATATTTCCTTACATTTTACCCCGAGACATCCTGGCCGGAGAAGATCCCGAACTCAGGAACGGCGCTCTCGCTTGAGACTTCCTCGCAATTCGGTCAAGTTGGCGGGGGCCCAGCCACGACGACAAGGGCTCCTGCTCGATACTTACTCACGGTTTACTCCGAGATCCCCTGGCCATGAAGGCCCCTGAACTCAGGAACGGCGCTCTCGCTCGAGACTTTCTTATGATTCAGGCAAATTGGTGGGGGCCCAACTGCGACGACAAGGACTCCCGTTCAATAGTTCCTCAAGATGTATTCGCAGAGGCCCTTGCCAGAGAGGCCACCGAATTCAAGAGTGGCGCTCTCGCTTGAGACGCCCTCGTTATTCAGTCAATTTGGTGAAGGCCAAACCGCGACGACAAGGACTCCCGTTCGATACTTCCTAAAGCTGTACTTCGAGAGCCCGTGGCCCGAGACTGCAATTCAGTAGTGGCGCCGGAGACCCACCTGCGACGACAGGGGCTCCCGCTCGACATGCCCTCGCAGTGTACTCCTTCACGCCCTGGCCAGAGAGGCCCCCGAAGCACAGAGACCCCAGCACGCTGCCCACTGAGGCCCTCGGACACTGCCCACAGAGGCCCCCGCGCGCCCACAGAGGTAGGTTCCAGCACGCTGCCCATTGAGGCCCTCGGACACAGCCCGCAGAGGCCCCAAACTCGCCCACAGAGGCCCCAGCCAACAGTGGCCCCAAGCGCGCCCACAGAGGCCCCGGCGCGCTGCGCACTGAGGCCCCAACACAGCCCACTGAGGCCCCAAGCGTGCCCACAGAGGCCCCAAGCGCGCCCACAGAGGCCCCAAGCGCGCCCACGGAGGCCCCAGCTCGCTGCCCGCAGAGGCCCCCTGACGCTGCCCACTGAGGCCCCAGCCCACAGAGGCCCCAAGCGTGCCCACTGAGGCCCAAGCGTGCTGCTCACTGAGGCCCAAACACAGCCCACAGATGCCCTAAGCGCGCCCACAGAGGCCCCAGCCCACAGAGGCGCCAAGCGCGCCCACGGAGGCCCCGCGCGGTGCCCACTGAGGCCCCCCAACACAGCCCCCAAGCGCGCCCTCAGATGCCCCAGCCCACAGAGGCCCCAAGTGCACCCACTGAGGCCCCAGCGCGCTGCCCACAGAGGCCCTCCGACACAGCCCACTGAGGACCCAGCCCGCAGAGGCGCAGCCACGATGACAAGGGCTACCGCTCGATACTTCCTCACGATTTACTCCGAGAGGCCCTCTCTCGTGCTCCATCCTTCTCGCTCCCCCATCCGTCCTCTCTTCCCCTGTTTTCGAGGCTGCGCTAAATGTGCGTGGCAGATAAGGAAGATCTACCATCTACCCCCGAGGGGGTACGGTCGAAGACGAAGAGGGCGGGTATCGAGGGTTTGGGATATACGTATTGAGTGGCACGCGATCAAGTAAGAGCGAACAGTCTTAAAATGATCAACGTTGTCGTTGTCGTTGTCGTCGGTGCCGTTGACGTCTGCGTCGTCAGCGTCATCGGTGTTGCCGCCGCCGCCGTCGCCGTCGTCGTCGTCGTCGTCGTCGTCGTCGTCGTCGTCGTTGTCGTCGTCTTTGTCGTCGTCGTCGTCAACGCTGTCGTCGTCGTCGTCGTCGTCGTCGTCGTCAGCGTCAGCGTCGGCGGCGTCGTCGAGAAGGTTTTAGTATTATTGATCGGCTGCGCTGCAGAGAGTCTCGGAGGTCTCCAGAGGTCTTCGGAGGCCATCGAATGTTTGCGGTGGTTTCCGCACGTTCACAGAGCGGGATTTTGGTGCTCTGCCAGCGGTTTTCGCCCCGTCCTCGCTGGGACCCTATCGTGGGACCTTCTCTTTGACGGCTCGTTCGATAAACACAGGTGGGTCTCACACACCCTGTTTTTACTCGAGAGCGTCTCTCCCCCGAGATGGCCTTGCACGATGGGGCCCCGTACTGCGGGTTCCCACACGGTTGGTTGGCAGACGATTTGGGGCTTGACAGAAAAGGGCCCCGCACGATGGGGTCCCACACACGATGGGTTCCCACACGACGGGGTCCGACCCGAAAGCGTTCCACCCGACAGTGTCCAAGTGTCCAATGCGATGGGGGTCTTTTCGCCAGCGTCTTGGTCGTCGCGCTGGAGGCCACCGAAGGCCGCCGATGGCTGCCCATAGCCTATAGCCGGCGATGGCCGCCGATGGCCAATGGTCTCCGCGGCGTCTGCGCTGTCGCCGTCGTCGTCGGCGCCTGCGCAGGACGAAGGAACCCCCGTCGCGGCGGCGACTCAAGTTCCTGATCCTGTGGGCCCGCTTGCAGCTGCAGGAGTGCGCGCCGCGTCGTCGTCATTGTCGCCGTCGTGGTCATCGTCGGCCGCGGCAGCGTCGTCGTCGGCAGCGTCGTCGTCGTCGTCGTCGTCGTCGTCAACGTCGTCGTGGTCGTGGTCGTCGCCGGCGGCGGCGGCGTCATCGTCGGCGGCGGCGGCGTCGTTGTCGTGGGCTTCGGCGGCGCCCGAGCCGTTTTTCAACGGTTCTGAGGGGCCGCTGGCCCTTTCCAGTGGCTGGATCTCGACGAGATCTTCAAACAGCAGTACAGGTGTGCCCGTCGGCGTTCTGGTGGTCAACGGGAGAGTGGGAGGGATGAGGAGGGAGGAAGATGAAGACGAGGAGGAGGAGGAGGAGGATGGCCAGGAGGAGGAGGAGGAGGACGGCCAGGAGGAGGAGGAGGAGGAGGAGGAGGAGGAGGAGGCGGAGGAGGAGGGAGGAGAGGAGGAGGAGGAGGAGGAGGAAGAGGAGGTGGAAGATGATGAGGGGGAGGGATGACGAGGAGGAGGAGGAGGAGGAGGAGGAGGAGGAGGAGGAGGAGGGGAGGAGGAGGAGGAGGAGGGAGGAGGAGGAGGAGGAGGAGGAGGAGGAGGATGGCCAGGAGGAGGATGGTCAGGAGGAGGAGGAGGAGGAGGAGGAGAAGGAGGAGGAGGAGGCGGAGGGGGGGGGGGACCTCGTCGCGGCAGTGCCCGCGCGGCCGCGGCCGCGCCTGACCGCCCTCAAGCGTCAAAGACAAGAGAGGAGGGCGATGATGATGCTGCTGATGATGATTCTGATGACGATGATGACGATGATGGTGGTAATGATGGTGATGCTGCTACTGATGGTGATGATGATAGTGGTGGTGGTGGTGGTGGTGATGATATTGATGGTGCTGCTGCTGATGATGATGCTGCTGATGATGATGATGATGGTGCTGCGGCTGCTGCTGACCATGCTGCTGCTGATGATGATGTTGATTCTGATGATGATGATGACGATGCTGATTGTGATGACGCTGCTTATGATGATGATGATGATGATGATGATGATGATGCTGATGATGATGACGATGACGGTGACGATGACGATGATGATGATGATGATGATGATGATGATGATGATGATGATGATGATGATGATTGTGATGATGATTGTCATGATGATGATGACGATGATGACGATGATGACGGGTGGTGGTGATGATGATGATGATGATGACGTTGATAATGATGATGCTGCTGATGATAATGATCATGGTGATGATGATGATGCTAATGCTGATGATGATGCTGCTGATGATGATGGTGATGATGATGACGATGATGTGATGATGATGATGATGACGATGATGATGACTGATGATGATGGATGACGTGATGTGGATGTGTGACGATGATGATGATGGATGATGATGATGATGATGATGATGATGATGATGATGATGATGATGATGATGATGATGATGATGATGATGATGATGATGATGATGATGATGATGATGATGATGATGATGATGATGATGATGATGATGATGATGATGATGATGATGATGATGATGATGATGATGATGATGATGATGATGATGATGATGATGATGATGATGATGATGATGATGATGATGATGATGATGATGATGATGATTATGATGCTGATGCTGAGGAGGAGGAGAAGGAAGAGGAGGAGAGGAGGATTGACGATGGAGAAGGAGGAGGAGGAGGATTGACCATGGAGAAGGAGAAGGATGGAGGAGCCAGGAGGAGGAGGAGGAGGAGGAGGAGGCGGAGAAGGAAGAAGAGGAGGAGGGACGAGGTTCGAGGATCAGGATGATGAGGAGGACGAGGAGGATGAAAAGGAGGAGGGAGGATGAGAAGCTACACTGCCCACAAGGGGGAGGACGGGCCAGGGACAAGTCCGGAGGAGAATGGGGAACAATGGGCGGCGAGGTGCCTCTTCCCCTTACCCTCCCACCCCTTCTCCTCCTCCTCCTCCTGCTCCTCCTGCTCCTCCTGCTCCTCCTGCTCCTCCTGCTCCTTCTCCTCCTCCTCCTCATCCTCCGCACCGTGGGGCACGGTGACGCCACTGGACCCGACGGCATTCAACCTTGAGTGATCGGGGCCGCGGGTGATTCAAGGTTGAACGATCGACGTGGTGTCACAAACCTTTGGGCGCGCCGACGTCGCACGAATCTACCTTACCCCGGAGAGGGTTCCTCAGGGCTCATCTCGGTACGCCCAGGGTCCAGGACCTGGCGCTTGCTGTGGCCGGCATCTTGGCCCCTGCGACGCCTCAATGTGGGCGCGTCGTTCTGGGGGGACGTTTGAGCGTTCCTCCAAGCATGCCCAGCCCCCTTCTCTAGAAGACCAGAGCCATACAAGCACACGCCACCGTTAAGAGCTCCCCCCTCCCCTGGATTCCTTGGGTCGTCGCCGGACCACCTCGTTTCGTTTGCGTTTTGCGGCAAGGGCGGAACGAAGAGAACACGAAGGAACGCGAACACAAAACGAAAACGGACAACACCGTTGAGGTCGAGCCCTGCTTCGCGGACATGCTTCGATTCTGTGTATCCAGTCGCGCTGCTGCGCGACTCCGCCGCCGCGCTCGGGCGGCCGCCTGGGGGGGAGGCCTCCCTTGGGAGCCTTTTTGGAGCCTTTTTGGGGGCCTCTCAGGGTCTGATTTTGGGGCCTCTTGACCCGCCTGACGCCTTCGGAGGCCGCCGGGCCGTCTGGGGCCTTCGGGCGGTTTCGTGCCGCCTCGGATGTCTCTTGGACCGTCTGGGGGCCCTCTCGGGGCCCGTCTTAGGAGCCTTTTGGGCCATCTTGGGGCCCTCTTAGCCCATCTTTGGGCCGTCTGAGGCGCCTCTTAAGCCGTCTTGGGGCATCTTTGGGAGGCCTTGTCAGCCGTCTGAGGAGGCCTTTTCAGCCGTCTGAGGGGGCCGTCTTTGGGGCCTCTTGGTCTGTCTCGGGGCCGCCGTGGTCATCTTGGAGACCATCTTGCAACATCGTGGAGGCCATATGAGCGACGAAAAAATACACGGGTTCAATTGCGCCGACATTCGCGCGCAAGTTGCTCGCGTACGGTCGCGCATACGCCCTCGTCTCCAGCGTAGCGTGCCGCGCTGGCGGCTCGCGCAAGCCGCGGCCTAGGGCCGGTATGCCATCTCGCGTAAGACCCGTTTCTGACCGTCGCCCATCCAGTCAACCCGCACAGTATTTTTCAAGGTTATTCTCGTGTTCTTTCCCTCCGGCCTGTCCTTTGCCGCTTTCGCTGGCCGCGCCCCGCTCGCAAAGTGTCGACGAGGCATTCGAAGGCCCTTGCATCCTTACCGCGCATCCTTGTCATGCGGGTCGACTGTTTTCAGGCCCTTTTGCCCGACGCAGAGGCCATCTTGGCCGCCTTCGAGGCCACCCCGGGGGCCCTCCTGGGGGAGCGGAGGGGCGGGCGGGCTCCCCGTGGGGGGTCAGCGTCCGTGGAGCTCCCCATGCAGAACTTCGAGTAGGGGGTCGATTGCAGAATGGTTTTGCAGTCGAAGCAGATGGTAAGGAAGGGTCACTTTCCCAGGGGTGCTCTTGCATCCTTGCCTCCTCGGTCCGTCCTTGACCACTTTCGATGGCCAGCCCCGCTTGAAAAGCTTCGACACGGGCGTCCAAGGCCCTCGCATCCTTACCGCGCATCCTTACTATATCTCATGGCCTTTGGCCCATCCCGCCGTGCCTGGGTTGTGGGTATGACGCCTACTGGACGTTCTTTGGGATCTCGCAGGAGTCCTCTCGGGGGCCTCCTGGAGGCAGTTTGGAGGCCTCTTGGGGGCCTCTTTTGGGCCTCTTGGGGACCTCTTGGGGGCCTCTTGGGGGCCTCTTGGGGCCTCCTGAGCGCCTCTTGAAGCCTCCTAGGGGCCTTTTGGGGCGGAAGGCTCGGATTTTCGGTTAGTGCTCCCTCTCTTGGGCCCCTTTTGGGACCGTGTTGGGGCCCTCTTGGGCCGCCTTCAGCTCCGCTTCGGCCGTCTTGGGGCCCTCTTGGAGGTTTCTTGGGCGCGGTCTTGGGGCGGTCTTCGGGGCCTCTTCAGCCGTGATGGAGTTTCCGGAAGCCGAAAAGACGAGAAAGCTAAAAACCTTCAAACACCTAAGGACAATCAGTGATTTTTGCCTCATGGGGCCCTCTTGGGAGGCCTCTTGGAGTCCTCTTGGGGCGTCTTGGAGGCCTTTTGGGCCGTCTTGGGGACATCTTGAGCGTCTTGGAGCGATCATTCGGCGACTCGGGGCCCTCATGGGCCGTCTTCGAGGCCTCTTGGGGCCCTCTTGGCCCATTTTGGGGCCCTCTTGGGCCCCAACAAGTTATGCGACAAGCCGCGGGGCAGCCCAGGGGGCCCCTTAACTACTCCTCAGGACTGAGGACAGAGGCTCCAGGGATTGGGCAAAGGACCTGAGGACACGTCCACTCCGTGCCCAGAGGCACGGTGGCGGATCAGTTGTGACTGTATGGGAATCGACTGCAGAACTGTTTTACCCCAGAGATGACTTTCCGTAGAGCTTACGAGCGCAAGCGCAGAATGTTCCGTAGATCTACGGAACATTTTGCACATAAGTCGATTCGAGGTACAAATCAATTGTGGGGCAAACCAGTTCTGTAGTCGATCTCCTTGTCGACAACTGAGATTTGAGTTCTCCTTGCTGGAAACACGAAGACCGCAAGGATTTGGCCGAACGGGTGACCCCGTGTTGGGCCAGAGGCGCCAAAGGGCCCAGACCTCTGCTTCGCAGGAGGCGACAGTAACGAACAAAAAGCGAGGGCCCGCCACGCATCTACGTCAACCAGGGCAAGCGGTGGCGGAGAGCTCGACTCCGCGGCAGCCCCGCGGCATATGTCCCTCCCTTCCCCGAGGAGCCCGCCGGTGCCGACGGCGCCGCCCCCCGCCGCCGCCGCCCCGCCCTCCGCGCCCGCGGGCGGCCGCCGCTCGTCGCCGCGGCAGCCGCCGTCGTCGTCGCCGCCGTCGTCATCGTCATCGTCATTGTCGTTGCTCGCCGCCGCCGCCGCCGCCGTC